GTCCTCCTCCTCTTTTTTCCTCATCCTCCCCCTCCTCTTCTTGCTCCCCCATGCGTTCCCCGAAGTCTTTCCTAACCGACTCGGGGAACAACTGGCCCGATAGCTTGGCCAACCTCTGGCCCAGCTGTCGGCCACAGAGGCGCTTCCAATGGGACAGGGGGTGGCGGTGATTCGCCGTAGGCGTCTTGGATTACGTGTGTGTATTGAGGGTACCGTGTCATGCCGAACGCTGCCTTGCAGTCATCGCGTTGCCACGGGGAGCGCTGTATAGGGAACGACGGGGATGTTCTGGCCACGGCGAGCCTCGGCCGCAAATAGGTTCCCAGACCTAGATCTCAAAAACAATCGAAACCTCTCCTCAGCCCAAGCTGGTCCTTATTTCAGCGTCTTCACTGAATCTCTGTGCTGGGCTGCAGCGAGTCTGCGTGGCCTTGCCGAGGTCAAAGTTTACGTAGTTCTCGTCGATGTGAAGGAAATTGGTCAGGATGCGCTGCGCGGCGACGAACTGATTCTCGTCCGGACGCCGCTTGCCACCAGGCAAATGTATCCTCGGCAGGGACGGAGAGGATGATAATGTGAGGTAGTTCGTGGGAGGTACAAATGGGCGCGATGAACCTCTTCGGCCAGACTAGGGTGCTAGCTGGCAGGATAAAGCCAGGTCAGATCAAGTACCATATTTCGCCAGAGCAAGCCAGGTGAAGCAGGACACCAGATCAACACCAAGAGAAAACCACAGCCGATGCTGAATTCAACCTCCCGATTGGGAATCGCTATCAAAAGCAGGGGCCGGACAAGATTCCCGGAGTGGGCAGAGAGAGGGACGGGAGAGAGGGAGAGACCACGCGCGCGACGAAGAATGCGAAGAAGCCACCGTGGAGGGGGGCTGGAACTAGGGGAACCAGAAGGTACCGACACCGCTACTCCGCGGACCTCCTGGGGTGCGTCTCGACCAGGATCTCTGAGCGAATCCAGCCGTGGCGACGAGGGCCTCCCCAGGGGCCCAAAAACACAAGAAGAAAAAACGGCAAAAACATAAACTGTTGGCGCTCCGCGCGGGTTTCTTGGATCTGCATTGGACCCCCTCCCTGGCGCGCGGAGCGCGCCAGGGGCGGCCCCCGGCGGCGCCGCTGGGGGGGCCCCAGCGCAGATCTGCGCAGAGCGCCAAAAGTTTATGTTTGTGCAGTTTTTTCATCTTCGACCCCAGGAGGCCGAAAACAGCGAAAACGAGGATAGGGCAGCGGTATCCGCAACCCTTCCTTCGGAGGCAAACGAAGCTACCTCGCCTTTGGCCACCCTCGCTTCCAAGAGATACCAAACGAGATCAGGCTACGGCCTGCACCAGTCAGGTCGCTTGACGAGGACGCGCGTGGTATGACTTGGCTTTGTCTGAAAGCGAAAGCGGGGTAGGCAATTCCTTCTCTTCCTCCCCTGAGGCTCCGCCTGAGTCGCCGGGCCCTCGACGCCGAGATGGCATCTCGACATCGGCCTCCCGAGCCCGGGGCCACCTCTTCGTCCCTGGGCCGCCTCTACCTTGGGGGGCCCCGCGGGGCCCCGAAGACGGCCCTCGCGAGCGCAGACGGCCCTCGAGAGCACAGCTCCTCCTCCTCCTCCTCCTCCTCCTTCTCCCTGCTCCTCCGCTCCTCCACTTACTCCCACCCTCCAACCTCGGTGATTCTGGTCTCAATGCCGGAAGCCTGGGCCCAGAGAGCATCGGGCCTGCCAGAGGAGTCCGCGGACACTGCGCGGGCCTCCCCAAGAGATTTTCCGCACGACCGCCTCTCTCCGAGCAGGCCTCCGAGCGGGCCCCGGAGGCCCCGAGGAGGCCCCAAAGAGGCTCCGCAGAGAGTCCCAAAACGAGATGCAACATCTTGCGCTCTCAAAGAATGGATCAGGCAAACTTCGTCCGCCGAGGAAGATCAAAGAACTCGAACGTTCCTCAAACTGTAATCAGAAAGGCTGGGCGCCACGAAACATGTTGCACCTGCACGCGGGCACGACTTCTCGACGCCGGCGCTGCTCACAGAGGCGAAAGCTGAGAACGCTTGTCTCTCGGGGCCCTCCTGGCCCGCAGATCCAGCCGACACTGGCGCGTTTCAGCCAAGCGCCGACCGCGGCACTTCAAGCTAGTAAGTAGGAATCCACAGAACTTTCAGTCAGCGCCCACATGTCCTACGCTCCGGCATGTGCACCGCACTGCACTCCTCAACCTCAACGGTCAGGAACTTTGCTCAGCGTGTCGCGGCGGCGGCTCCGGCGACACGTTCTGAAGTTCTACACGCCATGCCTTGCTAGCAGATAGCATGTCGCTTCACTCCGCGGGGCGGGTACCGGGAAGCGATCGGGACATTGACGCTTCGACATGGGGACGTGGATAGCGTGTCGCGTCGAAGCGTGGATGGCCAGAACAGGCAGCGCGACACGAAAACAAAAAGTTGACGATCGTACACTCTGGCAACTGGCTAACTGACCCCTTCTTCCACACCAACCCGCCCCCGCCAGTCCTGGGCAAGGCCTCTTGCCCGCCGGGGAGAACCTCCCCATTCACGATGAGGAGGTCTCCTGCGAGGACGGGCCATCCGCTCCCTCCTCCCCTCTTCTCCTCTCCTCTCCCACTGCTCCCACTCCTCTCCCTCCCCTGTCTCCTCCTCCTCCTGCTACGACTACTACGACGACGCGACGACCTACTACGACGACGACTACGACTACGACTACGACTACGACTACGACTACGACTACTACTACTACTACCACCACCACCACCACCACAACCACCACCACCACCACCACCACTACTACTACTACTACTTCTACTACTACTACTACTACTACTACTACTACTACTACTACTACTACTACTACTACTACTACTTCCTCTACTACTACTACTACTACTACTACTACTACTACTACTACTATACTACCACATACTACCTACGACCTAATACCTACTACCTACTACTACTACTACTACTACTACTGCTACTACTACTACCACTACTACTACTACTACTACTACTACTACCACCACTACTACTACTACTACTACTACTACTACTACTACTACTACTACTACTACTACTACTACTACTACTACTACTACTACTACTACTACTACTACTACTACTACTACTACTACTACTACTACTACTACTACTACTACTACTACTACTACTACTACTACTACTAACGACTACAAACTACTACGAACTACTACTAACTACTACTACTACTACTACTACTACTACTACTACTACTACCACTACTACTACTACTACTACTACTACTACTACTACGACTATTACTACTACTACTACTACTACTACTACTACTACTACTACTACTACGGCGAACTACTACTACCACTACTACTACTACTACTACTACTACTACTACTA